TTTTGATCGAAAATCCATTTCTTGAGTTCTTTTCCCTAGTCTTTGGGTTCATTTCAGGAATATTTTTGGAATCCGGATGAAGAATTTGTTTTAAAAAAATTCATTTCTCATGCATTTCTTCGATTTATTTGTGAACAAAATATAATATTTTCAGACTCGATTCGAGTCACTCGAATGCAAATGCCACACAAATTTGGCGTTCGATTTCAATACCAAAGGCCACATTTCCACTATGTTTAATGAAATAATTGGAATCGAACCGCCTCTTAGTGCAGTGTCATTTAATTTAGGCTATGTGTGTTGATTGAATTTCAAGATTGTTCCACTCGATTCGATGATATCGAAAAGTCTCGAAAGAAAAAACCCGCATCGTTTCAATTTCGGCATAATCGAAACGAAATCAAAACTGCCGCACTCGACAAAGACCGAGCACAACGATTTGCTTCACTTGTACACACACTCAAAGTCCATGTATGCATTTTTTCAATTATGATTCAATTTAAGCACTCAATAAAATCGTTTCCACCGCTTGTACAACACAAAGGATACAATTTTCTACTGGATTTTTTTTTTTGTTTCCACAGAATCTCATGACCTCATGATCATAATTCGGTTTTGTTATGCTGTCGGTTGTTGTCGTGTGAAATATCATTTGTAACTGTCTGTAATGCGTCAGCAACTGCATTCCAACAAATCACAGCCAACCCTCTTTCCGTGCACAGAAATAAAACCAAATCCAATCGGATTCTTCTAATCCATTTTTCAATCAAACTCACTTGGTCAGAAAAATCTCGCTTGATTCATTTAGTTCAAAGGTCGCGAATGAAGAAACAGGCTATTTCAAATAGCCAAATGATTTCAAATCAAGTTTCTTATTAAGTCATATTGAGGAATGATAAAAAAACACTAAAGAAAATACACCAGAAAAAACCGTGCAATAGAAACAAAATTAAGCTGTTAACACCGTGAAACCATTTCAATTAGGCGCAATGGATAAATATTAGTACTACAGCGTCCATTCTTAACGATTCACAGCAATAACGATTAAACCACTTGATTGATTTCGATCCAACTTTGAATTACAACAAAATTGAATTACAACAATTAATTACTCGTTCGACCAGACAAATCGACTGGCCACTTCTTATACACCCTGCACATCAAACATTTTTGACAGATGTTGCAGTCGAGATATTACAAATTACACGATCTTATGACTGATAATTAATTATACCCAATGGAAGAAATCAAAATGTTTATCTTAACACATAAACATGAGCAACAATCAATGCTTTCTATGAAAAATTCTCCTCTTACAAGGAGTTAATGGCTTTGGAGCAGTAGAAAGGCCACTTGAATTTCATGCCATGAAATGAAAATCTGAATATTTCACTGCCGCTTGAAGCGAAGATATGATACAAGTGTCGAAGAGTTTGAAAAGTGACGATCGAAGACAAATTACTGTTTCGACCGAAGAAGCATGTGAACTGCTTCATTTACTATGGATTCCTTTGGAGAAAAAACTGTTTGTCGTCAAATGTTTTACAAAATCAATCACATCCACCTTTTTATTCAACCAATTGTGGCCGATTTGAATTTTTGGTCCCAATATCAATAAACAATAATGTGAAAAAAAACCAAACGTTCTGCTGTATGTTACAATGAAACGTGTGGATTTCTTCTAAGGTTCTTGTGAAAGTATTCTAAGATTTTCAAGTTGAAAGGGCATCGTTTGACTCATCACAGTCTATTTTCTTGTTGTGAACATTCCGTAAAAATTTATTGTTTCACACTGAATCCGAACAGAGAATTCGATGTTTCGGTAAATCGGTATTTGTGCACCGGCCAATAATTGCGATCGAGTGAGTAAGACTTGCAGCAAAATGCAGTTAAGTTCCAAGTTCCAACTAATAAAAGACGTTGGAAAAAAGCAAACAGTTCAAAATTGAATGTATCGTAATTGCTGTTGCGCAACAAGCGAGCACCGCAATATTTGTGTAGTCGCACATATTTTGTTAGTGTCGTAGGTTCCATTGAGTCTGTTTCTCTTGTTCTGTGTTCTCTGGAACACAATATAATTGAAATCGCTATCTCGAGGAGTTTTATTGCAATGTGAGTAAGACATCACCGCAAGCGAGAAAATATTTGAGAAAGAGAAACTAAAGAATGTGACCGCACGAGCACATTGCGGAATCGAACCAAACAAACGAAATAGATCGATGCATTTGAATAACTGTGCCGTGAAATGATTTTTTTCCGCGCAAAAGTGAATATCGTATTAAAATGTGCGCACGAGGTGGAAAAATCCAGTTTTATGTTTATTATTCCATCTGATCTTCAAATCAGTCAGAGTTGACCGGACCGGCGTGTGTATGTGTGTGTGTGTGTGAGTAATTTTATTGAATCGCTAGTGTCAAGTTGCGGAGCCAAAGCAGAACTTGTTGCAATCATACCAAAATAAATTTTGCTGCTTTATTTTATGTTTTTGGAGCTTGTGGCTGAACAAGGAAATTCGTATCGATATGTGTTCTGGTCGACGAACGCACGCGGAATGCTTCGCACGAAAAAGGCAGCGAAAAAAAAGAAATCATTCGCAATTCAAGAAACATTGCACACTGATGAAGATATCAACTCATATTGTTCGCACCAAATGTATGCCTTTGACCACAAGATATTCACATTTCAATTGAACCTTGGTGAAACGAAGAGAAGCAACAAAAAAACAACGTGAACATTCGAACTCGCGGACTCGTTTGCACCGACAGCGTTTCAATTTCATAAATTGCCGACGACGCTGCACACATTTTATATCCAAATAAATTTTATTTTGAGTGCACAATAACAGATTGTCATCTTCAGTGACGGCTTCTTTCGCACATCGTTCTCCAATTCAAACTGCGTACACCGTTCAATACCAATAAATGTACACACACACACACACACACACACACACACACACACACAAATGCACGAAAGAGAGGGAGAGAGCGCGAGCGCACGCCAACATTTTATTATTGTTTTTAATAAATATCCAGAAATTATCCAGCAGCGAATTAGATATCAATTTTCTATTCTTGACTTTGCAAACAATAATAACCTATGGCGAGAGTTCTCTCTCTCTCTTCCTCTCTCGAGGAGAGAGAGAAAGAGATGCAAAATTTTTACTACCATCCTGATTCAGCATTCTATGGAACGAAATTTATTGCGATAAACAAAAATGAATCACATTTTGAATTTGTGAAGGGAATTTCGCACATTAGCCGAGATCCTTCGTAGATATTGAAGAGAAAAGTACACAAATTTTGGGACAAATGGACATACTCTTTAAATATGTTGATATTCGTGTATAAATTCGTTAAGAAGAAAGGAAAAAACGATTTGAAAAACAAATCGAAAAGAAGAAAAAATTTAAAAAAAACTTTTGATTTATCCAGTTTCAGAAAGCAGAAGAAAAAAAAAACAGAAAAAGAGGAAAACAAATAAAAAATCCAATTTTTTTCAATTAGTGTCACTTCTCCAGGCAACGAGTCATCCGAAGCACTCCATTTAACACCAAATCATCAAACTCTCCTCGAGGGTAAACGCATGCCTGTGCTGAAGTGTGTTTGATTGATTGGCGATCGTCGACACAAATTACCCTTCTCACTTAACTATAATTTTTTCGATTAGATTCGAATACTTTTTTTCGTTGTTATTTTTTTCCAAAAAAAGGGAAAATACTGAAAACATTCAATAACAAAAACACTTCTATGAAGAACATTTTTCTCTTACAATAGCAAATTTCTGCGATAAATCGGATGCACATTCAGATGAAAAAAGCAAATAATTTCGTCATCAATCAATAGATCACTGTGTGCTCTTCAATTTTGAAGGGATACTTCATGATTAATTAGCGTCGATGGAAGTGTAAAATTCGTTTATTTGCGATGCACCAAAACATTCACTGAATCGTAAAAAAATCGAGCAGTCGTTTCAAGCACGCAGAAATGCTGCATAAAAACAAGAAAAACTACAAAAACCTTTTTTTTCATCAATTTTGTCCATGTTCCCATTCATTTTTTTTTATTGTGGCGTGAGCTCAGCTGTTGTTGTTGCAACGAAATATATCAATCGCATGCATGTCAAACATCGGGCGAGATTTGTTTTCTGCACCATATATTCGTTGCACGTAATGCCTAAAATTATCATATCAATAGAGGCCGTGTTGTATGTGCGCATCGAGCTAATGTCCTTAAATAAACAAAGTTCCATTTAAAACACGTTGTAATTGTCGTGCTGTATGTTTTCATTTTGTCTTTTTTTCTGCAACACGAGCATAAACAGGTCATTTGATTTCTGGCTGAATTTTTTTCTCTGCTTTTTGCCTGTTTCTGTTTCTTCTCTCGTCGGAACACATTTGTTTCGAAAGGTGTGTGCAAAATGAATTAATTCTTGGTATACCAAGATTCATATATATGAAAAAAAGAATGAAATCACAAAATGAATTGATTTTGGCGACACACACGGACTACTCGCATCGTGAGTGCACATCAGCCACTGCGTGTGTGATGGTGACTGTCATCACTTTTCCGACACGTTGTAAAAACTTAGCACATAATCATTGACGATCGTAAAACATGCATATTGATTGCTTTTCATTACGGCTAATTAGCCGTGGTTTTACGTCTTTGAATGGCAAAAATGATGTCCCATAGTAGACAGTAGCTTTGTATACAGAAGTCTTCAGTTCTTCTGTGTTCAGTTGCTCAGGTCTGAAAAAAGTTTTTTATTTTTCAACAAAAAATGGCAAAGCGGACAAGATCTGTAAGAAAAGATTGAAAACTGGCTGCTGAAAATGAGAGCAAAAAGATCTTCATTTGGTGAATTCTTTTATTTAAATTACAACATTATTCTCTGCATTTTTTTTGTTCAATTTCTATTTTTACACCGATTTTTAATTAAAATGATTCTCCATATAAGTACACATTGAAAATTAATTAGTCTTGGAAGTGTGTGTATGCCCTAAAAATGATATCGTTTCTCCATACGCAGAAAAAGATAATAATAACTAATGAGAGCGAAAGAGGAAAGAATGCGAATAAAAACGTTCACACAAACATGCACATGTTGTAAGTCTATCAAAAACAAAACTTCATCTCTTATACCAATACGTCTTCATTTTTCACTTAAAATTTAAAAAAAAAATTGTTGTCCAACTAGACAACCTCCAAATCATCGCAACCTCCAAATTGGTGAGACCACACATTTTCAATGAACTGCTCTTAAACACATAGCATTAATTTTGGTTATTTGACATCTTAAATACGTATAGACTCTTACTGACTGGCACTAAAAACATAACCACTGGGAAACATCAATGTTTTCAATACAAACAGAACTTATAACAAAACGATGACTAAAACAAGAGAAAAAAACTTCATGAAGAAATTTTCTTGTGTGTCTTTTTGATTCTTTAAAAGTAAAACTTTCTTCGAAATTGGCTGTGGACACATTTAATTGCTACTGACGACCGAAATTTCGTATGAGTTGGTGGATAATTGTACTAAATTGTTGGTTTCGCTATCGTAATAGGTTAAACACTGATTGCCATGCGAATTTGATAAGACGTCATCGTTACAATACTCGCTAATGATTGAGCTACAGTTGGTTGCGTATTGCATCTCATGGTTTTGCTGTTGATGCAGTTCCAAATTGGTGAGATTTGACGAAAGATGTTCAACGCTGCCGCCGTAATATTCGTGATGGTTGTTGACTAAATTCGTGTTAAATGTGTTGAATTGATTGGTTGGCGACTGGGCAAAGGCTTCGCTTGCTTTTCGCTTCTGATTCTTGAAATTGTCATGGATATTATTATTGATGGCAACGCTGTTGTTGTTGTTGTTGTTGTTGTTGTAGCACGCAGCCTGATAATTTCCATTGGCGATTCGATCGCAGGCCGTATCGTTGGGTGAAAGCATTGTCGGCGAATGTTTGGCGTATTGACGTGATGGTTCGGTGGTTCGTGTATCACAGTAGTATGTGGCATGCGTTGCCGCAGGTTCAAATGAGTGAGCGGCCGTTGGTGATGATGCATTCATTGAGATCATATTTGAATTGTTGTTATTGTGATTGCCACTGCCATTCACCCCATTATGCAAATGCATTGCGTCGTTCATATTTTGGTAAAAGCATGCTGGATCGGCGTTGTGGCTGGAATTTGTGCTATTATCATCGTTTAAACTGTAATACGAATCGGAGAGTTCGCTGTGACTGTACTTTTGTTCAATCGTACCGCTGCCCAAATCGAGCAATGTAGCCGGCGGCGACGCAGACAAACTATTTAATGATGATACATTCGCCGATCGAATCGGTTGATCCATTTGAAATATATCCTCCGGTTGAAGCAAATCACCCGAATACGGCGAATATTGATAGACATCCTGTGAACTCACATTATTATTGCCACTGAAATTCGAATTCGGCTGATACACATTCGATCCATTCGCTTGGAATGCATGATAAACAGCTTCGGTGTGCTGTTGTTGATTGCCGTAAGACGCACCGCTACCGTAATTCAAATGACTCGGTGAATGCTGTTGATTTGACTGCTGCTGCTGTTGCTGCTGTTGTTGTTGTTGTTGTTGTTGCGATGATGCCTGATTCCAATACGGCAGGCTATTGGCAGCTGTCTGGCTCGAATGCATCGATACATCGGTGTTTTGCGAGTGACAGTACGTTTCCGACACCGAACCATAGTATACATTTTTATACATTTGCTGCGGCATATTATTATTCTCCAATTTCACATTCATCGTGCCACACACACAATGATACGGCGGACAACTACACGGCACACCTATTGGCGGAAGAGAGAAAGAGAGGAGAACGTAACTTTAGAATGTTGTTTACAAACAAAATCGCTCGCCGGTTATGACAGCAAACCGTTATCGCATATTCGACAACATAAATCAGTTTGGCATTGATTCACAGATAAACAAGTTGACTTTTGGCACAGGAATCGGAATTCAATCGGAATTTTGAATTATTTTTTGTGGAACATTTTTAGTTTTGAATTCAAATTCTTTTTTGTTGGACTAGAAATTGAATATTTTTACTTTAAAATAGAAACCGAACAGTTTGTGTACAGATTTCCATGGGATTCAATTGTGAAACTGAGCCAAACGTGCAAAATTGCTGTGTTTGAGTGCGAAAAAGTGATTATCAATGAATAAAATTCGTACAAACCTGAATTGAAATCGGAAATAAGCGGTGGCGGCCGAATTTTATCAGTGCTTGGATTTGGTTTTTGCTTCTTGGCTCCTGTGCGTAACGACATTAACTAAAAAGAAAAGAAATCGGTTAGTTTTTTGTTTCATTTCAAGTGAATGTGATGTAGAATTAAATGGTGAAAGCAAAAAAGGATGGAAAAAAACATTCTTATGAACTAATTTGGTTAAACGCTCAATTTGATTGTGATTTTATTACGTGAAATATTCGGTGAGATGGTTTGTAAATTGATATGAAAACAAAATTTGAGCAAAAATGGAATTGATCCGAAAAATCTTGAAACAAAAGTTGAATTTTTAATTTTCGATGAAAAAAACTTGAAGAAAAAAATGTACCTTGTTGCCCAAAGCAGCATCACGTGCCAAAAGAACAGCCAAGCCGCGGCTTCTTCTGCCCGAACCAATGGCTCGTCGATATTCGGTGCTATTTTTTGGCTCCGGTTTTGGATGGTCGTGCACTCCCTTGGCTTGGAAGAATATTGCATTGTTTGTTGATCGCCAGAAATGTGTGACCGGATAACCACAGTGACCTCGGCATGGACGAATTTCCAATTTACCAGTGTGACAAGCGCTGAAATGTGAAAGAAAAGAAATTGTAAATTTTTGGCTTCTTTGAAAATTTCTCAATTTTTTCGAACAATTCTCGTTCTTCTTTCAATATCTTCTCAATCTATCCAACTTCCTTAAAAAAATTACTTTCTTCTCAAATTCATTCACAGATTTTGATAATGTAGAAATGCGACAACGTTATCAAAATCCGTTCAAAAAATGTACAAAATCGAAAAAAAAACAACTCACCGATTTGGGCATGGTTTGCCTTGTTGCTTCTTCCGTGCTTTATCGCAAATGGCAGGACGTAAATGAATCTGTTCGCCGTTGGGCAGTGAACAACTGGCGGTACAAACGAGAACGCCCAAGCAGCTTTTCTTCAGAATATTCACATTGTGATTGTTCGTATTCCGCATGGCCCATCCAGAAATGTGTTTGCGTGCCTCTTCGCTGGTGTTTCGGTAGACAAATCGAATGTGACCGTCGGCCCATTCACAAAACTCATCATATTCATGATCGTTAAATGTTGGCACTTGAGGATCATTGATGTCCCAATCGCGCGATTTGTTCGATCCATTGGTCATTGGCGGCGCACATTTTGTGGCATGAATCGAATTGCTGTTATGTGTCATTAAAATGTTTGCGGATTGGTTTGTCGCTAGTTGATTGTGCAAATGAGATGATTGTCTTGACAACGGTGCTGACGATGAGTAACTCGAATATTTTCTGTAAAAGAACAAACAAACCCCAAACCGTTAGTCTCTGAATAGAAAATTAACAATAGAAGTCAGACAATGAGACATGCGAAGGTCGTTTTAGCACTTGACTTGAGCTGTCTACAAGAAGCAACGTTACATAATACACACTCAGGTCATGAAAAAAATGCATTACAAGGAAGTCGAAGAAAAGAAGAGCATGAAAGAGAATCACAATAAAAATAAATACATAAGCGACGATCGCTTCAGGTAAAACCGAGCGCACAGTGAGCACTTTTTGTTCCCTCTTTCAATCTTTGCGACATTTATCTTCAATTTATATGGACTTTATTTGCTGGCAGCGTTCAGTCAGTGGTAAGCCAATGCCCGTGTTTTGCGGTGCTTTGAATTAATGTGCAGCGGTTGAATAACTTTTCCATTACAAAAATGAACGGAGACGAACGAAATTAAGTGTCGATTATAGTAATTGTGCAGTGGTTTGATTCAGTTTCGAACGGATGTTTTCAGTTTTTAGCGGAGGCAATTCCCTAGGTTTTAAATGAAATGTTCATTGAATTGCGTGTGACTCAATGAAAGGTTCTTCACTTTTTTCAAGTCTTTTGTGGAGAAAGGCAATTTCTTCGACGTTTAGTGATTTTGCAGTATATGAAGAGCGATAGAGTAGAAATGTGAAAATTGATTTCGAATTGAAATCGACCAAATTTTGACGTAGAACTGGAGCGATTTGGAATTTCATTGATTGAAAATAGATTTTGATGCAAAAATGACGGTAAATGCAATGTGTAATGTTAAATATTGCATAGTGATAGAATGAACGTTGAAATGTTGATTCTGCCCCGATCATGACTTCGAAGTCATTTTGATAGTAACGAAAAACTTTCAATTTTTAAACAATTACGACTATTTCATTTTCATTAAATTTTTAATTCTAAAATTCACAAGAAAAATTACAAATACTTACAAAACAACCATATTTCCATTAATCCGAGTTGCAGATGCATAAATTGTTTCTATTTTTATCGTGATAGTTTTTTTTTATCGATGGATAAACTTTACCGCAGCCTTTTCAACAGACAGGTATACTTTCGAATAGTTTGTTTCGAATTAAAACTTTCTTGCTATGATTACTTTGAAAATCACTTTTTAGCGTGAGGCTTCAACGATGTGTCAAATTGTAGAGATGATTCGATTTTTCCACAGAAAAAGATTACTTTGAACTTCTTTTAAAAATACTTTTCGTTTCTTTATAAGCACAACCACGATATAAAAAAAATTAATATGTTTAGCCTTTCCTTTTCATAAATAAGTACAGAAAATGAACTGAAAATAAATTTGCTATCCAAAATGTGTCGTCGATGCACAGAAAATCGTCACACAAAATTCACAAAGTGAGCCGCTTCAATATCAAAGTGAGAACTTGAAAAAAAGTCGTGTATAGTTCGTAAAACTGTTCCAAGCCAAAGAGTGTCTAACTCGTGACCGTTCGGTTCTAAAGTTGTTTAGCAACTGGCACATCAAATGTTGAACTATTTAGAAAGAGCACACACTCGTCGAGGTTCGTTGTCGTTCAAATGTTACTAAAAAAAAACCTATGAACCAAGCGAGCGCAACACGCACGAATTCAAATAGGGTCCTGCGTGCATGTGTGTGTGTGTTTGTCTCGTCCTCTGCGCATTGTTCGGCTCAACAATATATTGTTCCAAGCGATAGCAAGATCGATCCCCAGCCAACGAATATAATAGGATTAAAAATGTGTGTATCCGTATGCATATGTGTGTGTATGTGGTGTCGGCTCTTGCTATCGTTCCGCCGATACATCTCTTTGTACCATTTGAACGGCACGCACAGCACAATGAAACACACTAGAAAACAAACGCGCTGCTACACAGCAGCGAATGGCTCCGCCTTCTCTATGAAACCGGAGAATCGGAATGCACGAATAGAGAGAGGCCGGGCTTGGTACAATGGAATAGACCGTCGCGACAACACAATAGATAAACGCTTTCGCCGTTTCTTATTGGCCGGATAAAATTTGTCGACGCTGAAGCAGGAGCTGTTTCATTGGCATTTTACCCACATTCATTGGGGCTTTAGCCACGATTGCTGAAACATTTCCTTTGTCGTTTGTTTGAACGCGCGGAATGCCGAAAAAATGAAGAGTGTTTTTCTCACATTTAATCGCGATTTTGATATTACATTCCTTTCCGAATATTTTTCTTTAGATCCCTTTTCGAACGACCAATTCCAATCGCACACGTGTTCGTCGTTCATTTCAATTCACAAAACTTGCCAGTTTTTGTGTGGAATAATAATTTACTAGAAAACAGGAAGCAATAAACCATTTTCGGTTGTTTAAATTACACAACTTATGATGGTGATGGTCTTAAAAGTGCATATCGGATAACAGTTTTTCTATAGGCGATTGCTTGATGATTCATGAAATAGTTATTTTATTGAGAATGAATGAAATTTATCCATATTTTCATATGAAATTTCGAGATGCATTTTTCCTTGCTTCGATATTTACTTCGATTTGACCCAGGTCATCGATAGGCATTGCATCGAAATTAATGCCATAAACAATGTTCACGCCGAATTCACATTTCGGAAGGTCAGTGTCAAGCCATTCGATGCACATTATCGTCAATTGACTTTAATTAAAGAAATTTCGTGTGTGAAAAACACGTTTTTTTTCGTTCGCTCTTGGGGAACGAAATTTATTTCTTTATTTATTCATTTCGTAAAGCGATTCTTTAGCATCGCACTCACTTCAACGAGCTGGCAATTATTCGAACTTTAATATTATTCTCGTTTGAGTTCAAATAAATTTTGACGATAAGATCGCCATGGCCACTAACAAGATGCTTAATAAAAACGTTGAATCGTTTGTCATAATCACAGACGAGGGAGAGAAAACAGTGACCAAACCGAAAAAAAAATGACGTTCGAAAGTAAAAAATTGTTTATAATTAAACATTGTTCGAGTTGTTATCTCTGAATGAATTTTTTTTCCAGCTAGAGAGAAGGAGCGAATTCATCGTCGAAAAATAATTACCCTGCCGCACGAAGATGTTATATATTCTTTTTCGTTGGATCTTAATAAGAAAATAGCTTTAATTGATGCATTTAAAAATGGGGAGAGAAAAAACCAACAACAACTGATGAAGAGACAAAACGGGATTTTAAAGAAATACACACACCGAGTGCTATTTATGTTTATGGTTTGCCCATTTACTTGATGATGACAATGTCTTTATTGAGTGTTTAGTATGTTCACGGCTACACCGAAAAAAATATACCGAGAGAGCGCTCGTCTCTCCACATTAAAATGGATAATTTATTTATTAGCCGTTTTATGATGCGTACTTTCAATTTAATTTGAATAATATGTTTTACAAGTTTTTCTCGCTGCTTCCTTCCAGCCAAACGTCGTTTATTTGTTTTTTGTCGCGGCATTTTACCTTACACTTCATCATTCGGTGGCTTTTGACATTCATTTCGATTTGCTTAAGTATCACAGCTTCTTTTGTGCCGATTCGAATGAGTTTTCGGTTGTGCATCGAGCACTCGAATCGAAGGATAAATTCAAACTTGGCAAAAAAAACAGAAAATGATTAAAGAAAAACGAATCAGAAGCCACTACTACTGCTGTTTATAATTACGTGCATGCATTACTCAGAAACCACCTTTTTGCATCACTTCGTCCAATTTGTAATTCGATGAACATTCTTTTCGATTCGGTGTTTATCGCATCATTCGTAATGTGATTTTTATGGTTATTTGTTCACATTTCAACTCAGTTTTTCGCCCATTTTTTCATCATGCTTTCCCTCCCTCTCTTGTTGTGCGCACACTTTGTCATCTCTTATTCTTGGTTGTTATCAATTCATATCAACTTTTTTCATCAACTATTATTAATTCATCCACTTCTGCGTGCAAATTTGAATTTTTTTCTGCTTATTTTTCGACTGGCTTCATTACGTGCATATGGAAAAGTGCACGCAAATATCTCCAGTATTGTTTTTTTTTATTTGAATTCGTTTGTTTGACATAACGTTTAATTTGAACACAGTTTGCCTTAAAGCGACAAAAAAGCAGGACTCAAATTGGAAATTCGAGAAGAAAAAAACACGTTTTCAAACGAGGATAACACCTGCGAACCCCCATCTAATCTTCCAAACTGTTCCGCACACTCACTGTTTAATTTATTTAATTCCGGGTATTTATTTCGAGCGGATAAGAGTTTTTCATCCTGTCCGATAGGCTAATAAACAATGCACCCTTTGTCGCTTCAGCTGATGCATACAGCAAACTGCAGTTCAATTCCGACTCCTTTCTATTCATTTTATTGGTTTTTAGTGCAAAAACAATGAGAATTATCTAACATGCAAAAAAAACTTCTAAATTAAAAATATGTTCTTCTTCGACATTAACTTTTATGCCTTTTCCATGTCAACTATCCTGGCAGCGACTCTTTCAACGAATAGGTCTCTCTTTGCATTCTTCGAAGATAATAAATTAATTTTTAAGTAGAGAAGGAAAGAATGAATGAAAGAAAGAAAAATAGAATGAAGCAACAATCAAAAATTGAAGCAAAAATTAAATAAAATCCTCGATTACCAAGCTGGATGGACTGCAAATAAGTGATCGATGACCTTTGACTAATTCCATACAAAAGCGACCTTTTACTATTACTCGAATTGAATTACTGTTAATTTCATCTTCAAACCTGGTCGATTTTTATGGAAATTTGCGCAAAAATTCAATTGAAAATCCCCGAAATGCGCTGTACAAAAAAGAGCAATGGTAATGAAGAGCAAATGTGAAAATGATGCGTTCAAATGTGAGTTGTGAATTGACGATGAGGCATGACGGAATGCATCTGAATCGATCGATCGATCAATTTTGGTACACATTGCGAAGGCAGTTGTCGTGTGTTGTCCCCAAACGAGTGATTATTGTTTGGTCTTTTGAATGGTAATTGACAAATAACAAGGAGTGTGGCAAAAAGAAACAAAGCGAATTGTTGCAATTGCAGTTGCATTTGTAATGATAGAACACATTACATTTTTATGGCATGGATGTTTTGACATTCGTCTTGCTGATATTTGCGCGCCTGTGTACACAAAAGAGGAAGATGCAGATTGCACACGTGAATATCAGAAAAAAGAATATCAATATAATTAAGAAGAAATGTTAACAGCAAAAAACGCACATTTCCTCTTTGCATCGAAATTACTTGTTTGTTGAAGTGTGTTCTTTACTTCAAAAAGCAATCGTGCCGAAGCACATTATTCGGAGACGGAGAAAAAGCCTTTTGTGCAGCATTTATTACGTATTAATGGACTCTTAAAGTGCATTGTTGCTGCACAAAAGGATGGAATGCAATCATGGTCTACATCGTCGCAACTCTATATTTAGAGCGAGTGAAGACAAAAGCCTTCTCATATTGCATGATGGATGGTGTCCAAAATTGAAAGTGAAAAAATATGCAGGAATGGCATCGGTCCAGTCCATACCAGCAAAAACTAACAAAATCAGCTGGAATAAAAAAAATGCATCGGATACGATCCGAAATTATATTTTTGCTGCAGCAACAGCAGCTCACTCTATAATTTATCCATCTTAATCGCTAATATGACTTAAGTATATCTAATTAGCTAATATGTTCATTTATTTCGATGCTTTCGATTTTTCAGTTCACCGTGGTTTTTCTGCATAAAATATATCGGAAGGTATGCCAAAAGTCGTCCGTTTATAATTTTATTTGATCATTACCTCTTCTCACGTCAGCGCATCGCGATCAGCGAGGCGAAATGCAGGAGGTAGATAAAAAAGCGACGCGAATTATAAAAAACAACAACCAGAGAGAAAGAGCGAGAGAATCCATGCTATCGATTCATTTGGACCGCCCCGGGCCTACTGATAATCACCACTTTCGACACACATACACAAATTAAGCAATATCAGCGTTTGATTTATATCAATTCACGCGATTATATCCATGCATACGTGCTGCAACGATACCGCCGGATCGTGATCGGTTGAATGCAGACAGTAGCATTTATATTTACTAATATTGATTCCTACGAGAACATTTTCGGTTGGTAACAAACCTGTGACAACATGAATGAAACTAAACGCTGATAGCAATAAGCTTCAAATGCGCACTTTTCCCAATTCCGTCGATGCTTTTTTGTTCTCGTTCATTCGCTCCTTTGGTTTTGTGCATAAAGTGTATCAAAAAGAATG